GAGCCATTTCCAGCACTAGACAGTCACACCTGGCCATATGCTATTGCCTAGTCAAACATTCTGATTTTTTGCATAATGAGCCTCATTAAGAGGCTTATTAGTGTTAATTCCATTGGTTTTTCATTCCCTCTCCAGGCTGGGTGGAGAGATGCAGTGCCCATTAGTCATGAATACCTTTACCTAGCCATGGTTCTTTGTTGCCTCTCACCTTTCCCACTATGCAAAACAAAGCATACTGTTCTGATTTGGGCAGCATTTTACACCTACTTTGCACTGGCGTAAATGACTCAGCAAGATGCAGGGCAATGGAGAATCAGGCTCTTTGAGCACTTTTTTTTTTTAAATCAAGAGGCCATATAAATTAAATAGTGATGAACTCCCCTTAAAAGGCTCAGTGGAAAGCTCATTCTGAACTTCCCTTAAAATAGCCTCCTCAGACTATTTGCATTACAATTTTGGACCCACTATAATCAGAGATTATGCAGGATTGTCATTTTCCCCCCTCAAAATGTAAACATTTTGCATTATTTACATTTTAATGTAAATTTCTCTTTTAAAGTCTCCTCTCAATTCATCCGCCCGTCTGCAGTTTAGAAAAATCTCAGATTTCACTTTCTTGGGTATGAAAGCGTCAGCAGCAGCATCTCCAGTATCAGCAGGAATCCTTCACATGTGGCAAGTGTCAAAGCAGATAAAAGAGCTTTGATCACTTTCCGACGCTTTCGGTACTTGCTTTAATTATAGAAAAATTTAGCTTCCATTGCATAACTCAAGGGCACATGACAAAATTCACACTCTTCTGCCCCACCCTGTTTAGAGACAGTGAAAAAGAACGAGGAGTTCTTGTGGCACCTTAGAGACTAACAAATTAATTTGACCATAAGTTTTCGTGGGCTACAGCCCACTTCATAAAGCTTATGCTCAAATAAATTTGTTAGTCTCTAAGGTGCCACAAGTACTCCTGTTCTTTTTGCGGATACAGACTAACACGGCTGCTATTCTGAAACCTAATTTAATGGTGTCCAGTTTGCAAATTAATTCCAGTTCTGCAGTTTCTCGCTGGAGTCTGTTTTTGAAGTTTTTTTGTTGAAGAATTGAGACTTTTAGGTCTGTAATTGAGTGACCAGGGAGGTTGACGTGTTCTCCAACTTGTTTTTGAATATTATAAATCTTGACGTCTGATTTGTGTCCATTTATTCTTTTGCGTAGAGACTGTCCAGTTTGGCCAATGTACATGGCAGAGGGGCATTGCTGGTACATGATGGCATATATCACATTGGTAGATGTGCAGGTGAACGAGCCTCTGATGGTGTGGCTGATGTGATCAGGTCCTATGATGGTGTCCCCTGAACAGATATGTGGACAGAGCTAGCAACAGGCTTTGTTGCAAGGATAGGTTCCTGGGTTGGTGTTTTTGTTGTGTGGTGTGTAGTTGCTGGTGAGTATTTGCTTCAGGTTGGGGGGCTGTCTGTAAGAAGAGTTATTCTACTATAAAATGGAAAGAAAATTAGGATCAGTAAATATCAAAAGACAAACTCATAGGATGGCCCATAGGCGAGGGAATTATCAGTGAATAAAGGGCTGCGGCCTGATTTTCAAAGGTGTTGAGCATATGTAGCTCTCATTGGCTTCAATGGGATTTATAGGGGCTCAGCATCTCTGAAAATAGGCCACCGTAGTGTTGGACATCAGATGAGAGAAGCTGTTAGCCTTTGTGGTGAGAGGGAAATGTGGGGTTCCCTTGCAGTTCCTTTGACAGCACTGAATATTGATCCATGTAAGACAATATTGCATTGCATTTGAGGAGGTCAGATTATGTTTATACTTTGGTAAATATAGTTTACAGATAGCACTTAATTCATGTAGAAGAACATATAGAAGAAGACAATAGTGGTTTTTTCCTTCCAATTTCTGCCATTTTTGCATCAGCCACTGAGTTGCCAGCTACTCCACCTTGGGCTTCTAAAAATCTGTATCAGAGCATGTGCAGGTGATAGATGCCATCGGTTGTGTATGCAGGTGATTGAGTTTTCAGGCCTGATTCTTGTTTACACCAAAGTCCCATTAGACCCCCCTCTGGAAGTTTACAGGGGCCTGGGTAGTGCAAAGGAACCTTAGTGTAATTGAGAACCAAACCCATCATGTTCATCTGTCCAATGGCTGTTCTGCATACAAATCCTATCTCTTGCATGCGTACGTTATTATGGCACAAAACTTGAACTGCAGAAGGGAAGGCTGCTTTTTAAAAACCAGCCCCTTAAAATCAATCTGATTTCAAAGCAACTAACTACCAAAAGGAATGAGATCCTAAAGGAGTATTTTTCCAAACATTCGTTATAGGACATCCTTGCTGGTAATGCTATAAGGCAGTAATTATTACAATGTACAGTGGTAACCAGTGGCAGAGTGGGGGGTTGATCATCATCAACCTACATGATTTTTTATGAGCCTTTGTGAAGACCCAAAACAGTGAGACCCCAATTCAAATTCAGCAAATTACTTAAGCTTGTGCTTAACTTTAAGCAAGTGTGTAAATCCAGCCATATTAAAGTGTGTTGTGTTTTGCCGAACAAGGATGGACTAAAGCAAATGCTTAATTTACAGCACATGCTTGAGAGCTCTGCTGAATGATGGGCTGAAAACTGTTGGCTCTATCAGGAAGCAATGACATGCATTTGCAGGAATGAATAGCAGGAGACATTACTGGTGTAACGTTATCTCCCAACAACATTGCTAGTGTGTGTCACTGCAGTGGCTTTAAACGTCCTGTCAGATTTGGTTGTTTCTTCTCTTTAATACAACAAACCGTCACTTCTAATGATTCTCGCTGTGCAAGGAGGTCATGCTGAAGGTTGTCCTATGCAGCAAACACTGGCTCATGGGAGTTACTCAAGCACGTCAAGAGGCGCACTGCATTTTAAGTCTGTTTGAAGGGCCTCCTTCGTGAACCCGTTAAAAAGCATAATGGCTTTATTTTAATAAAATCGGCTGGTGTGCTGTTCCCGTCTCTGCTTTAGAAACAAGTGCTTCTGCTTCCAGTATTACCGATGTGTCAGCATTCCTTTCAGAAGCTCTTACTCTCATGGGTCTATAACTCAGGGGTAAAAATTTGCTCCAGGCTGAGATTTAGCAGACAGGATCGGAGCCCAGGGTAAATATTTTCCCGATTTCTTTATGAAAGGTGGAGGGAAGGGGATTGTTTGATGTTTTAATCCTACCCAGGCCTATGAGATGTTCAATTATATTTATACATGTGAGTGTTGCAAATACTGCACTGCAAATCTCAGCTTTTGTGCCCTTAGAAGAGTCTGTGGTTTATTTTCCAGGGAGGATACTGATGCTAGGTAAAGCCAGCAAAGCCAACTCCAAAGTATATGCAGTGCTTTTGCCTCTTTATCTAGGATCTCAAAGCACTTTGCAAAACTCAAAACTTTCCTTGAAGGCAATTAACTCATTACCTTAACCATTCTACAGATGGGCAAACTGAGGCACAGAGAACTTACCTTAGCCAAAGTCACACCAATTTATAGCAGAGGCTGAAATAGACACTGACAAGTCCTGAATCCCAGTTCTTTTCTCTAACTTTAGATCACTCTTCTTCCCGACAGCAAACTACAGTCCTGGCAGCTACATTTAGCTGTTAAGATGGTTTCTTAAATCACTCCTTACATAAGACCTTTTCCGTGAGGGGAGTGGAAGCAATCAGTAACAATCACTGAACCACAGAAGGCTACTTTCAGTTCTTCTAGACTTAATGGGAATATTACAAGAAAATGTGGGTGAGATATTGTGGTGCAAGGAAAGGGAGAATGGCCTCCTGATTCTAGGACATCTGGGATCTAGTCCTAGCTCTGCCACAGAGTTCCTGTGTGACCTTTGGCAAGTTACTCTGTGCCTTGGTTCCCTAACTGTAAAATGGGGCTAATCTTTTTGTTTAGATTGTTAAGTCTTTGTCATGTGTCTGCACCAAGCACAAAGGGGGCCTCTCAGTGCCACCATAATACAACTAATGATAGTTTGAGAAAGAAGGGGCTGGACCATCCTTTGTTTCAGACCAGGACTAATGTCAGTGACTCTGGGCTGGACTCTGATCTCGTCTACAGCAGAATCAGGTTCCCTGTTTTTGGAGTGCAGAAAATCCCCACACAAGCTAGCTTGGCCCCTACCCCTCTGCAAACAGTTCAGTTTGCTCTCTATACTAAGAAGTACGCTGAGACAAGTCAAATATTTGCTTTTCACTTTGTTTACTAACCATGAAGGTCAAGTGTAATTTTGTACTAGCTACACACTAAGAATACATAGTAGTTGATTGTAGGAGAGCCTTGTAGCATGAGACAGATACTATTTTTAACAGGTATATTCCTTTGGCAGCTATTTCTTTTAGCTGACCTGTGGTATTGGCTAGGTATCCAATAAACAAAATAAACCAACCCCGTTGAACTCCTATTTTGATTACATTGCTTGATAAAAGTAATACAAGGACATTACATTTTCTTTGGATAGCTCTTAAATTGATACAGGTGCATATGTCCTTTAGGCCAGGCACAGTTGAAAGTATCCTGTGTGTCTTGCTTAGTCAAGGGGTCACTACATGTAGACACATTGAACTTGAGGAAGACCGATCTCCAGGGTAAAGATCACAGAGATGCTTCCATTACTGACACACAAAGAACATTATTAGATGCATACAGATTCTTGGGGTAGGGAAAGGGTGTTTTGTTTTGATTTATTTAATTGCTAAATCAAAATGCCATCTGGGGATTAGGCAGAGAAAATGGAGTTATTGAGAGTTGTACATTTTGGGTCTCATCCTCTACTCAGTTACACTGGCATAAATCAGGAGTAAGTCCAGTGATAAAGCTGGGATAAGTGAGAGCAAAAGTGGATCAAACAAATATTCAAACTCTCCTGTGGCCTTGGGAGGATGTTCCCACCTTCACTGTGACATGATTAAACAAGAAATAATGTAGCAGCTTGGAAAAAATTAATCTGGTTTTCGAATGCATGCTCACATTCTGATGGGAAATAAGGTAATGGACCTTATCCTTAGCCAATGTAACTGGATGCCACTCCCCTTAAGCCAATGAAACTGCGCCAATTCATACCAGCTGAGAATATGGCCCTATATTTCTCTCTTTCTGGGAAAGGTTTGGAAAAGATGGCTGAGGGGTTTAATGGTGAAGAATCTTACAACAGTAGGTGTTAGTGTGACTTGTGGCCAGTCCTCTGCATGTTTTGCTGGCTCTGGTGAGGCCATGACTTTTCAACACAAACCAATGGAACTTTGCTGCCCATCATTCTGTAATATCAGATACTGCCCTCCTCTGCGGACCTGCAGAAGCCACCATTAATGCCAGCATTTAGCAGCAGCTACCACACAGTGAGATCTGGAATGCCACAATTCCTCCTTAAACTTAGAATAGGAAATAACTGTTACACCTCACACAAAAGACAGTGGTAACTGTTAATAAATGTTGACTTTTTTATGGCAGCCACTGTGCATCTTGCACTTTAGAGCAAGTGGATTCTGAGAGCTAGTGGGTCTTTTCCATCAGTAACTTCAGCAGGCACTGAGACACAATTCAGGAAGGCATCCCTATTTGGGGCAGCATTTAAGCATGTGCTTAACTTTAAGTTCTATTGAAGTCCATGAGACATAAGCACATGCTTAAATGTAAGCATATGCTTAAGTGCTTTAAGGAATCAGAGCCTGAGTGCGTGATTGTCTTTGCAGCTGAAGCGTGATGCCTTAAATCCACAGGCAGAAGGCACTACAGCTGTTAACATCTTCAGTTGTAATAATCCAACAGTTTTCTGTGTGTGTTTCAGAAACAAATCCCTTGTACTTTATCTACTGTTTAACATTTCTCTTGTGACTTTCCTTCAACAGTACGTGGCATTCGCCTCCCTCTTCTTCATTCTGGTCTCCATCACCACCTTCTGCCTCGAGACCCATGAGAGATTTAACCCCATCGTGAACAAAACAGAGACTGAATTCATTGGCAATGACACCCACGTGCGACACTACAGGGAAGCGGAGACCGAAGCCTTTCTGACCTACATCGAAGGCGTCTGTGTGGTCTGGTTTACATTTGAGTTCCTGATGAGAATCACTTTCTGCCCAAACAAGGTGGAATTTATCAAAAACTCTTTGAACATCATTGACTTTGTGGCCATTCTGCCTTTCTATTTGGAGGTTGGACTCAGTGGCCTGTCTTCCAAAGCTGCTAAGGATGTCCTGGGCTTCCTACGAGTAGTCCGGTTTGTGCGAATTCTGCGAATTTTCAAGCTGACCCGCCACTTTGTGGGGCTGCGGGTCCTAGGACATACTCTCCGTGCCAGCACAAATGAATTCTTGCTGCTCATCATATTCTTGGCATTGGGCGTCTTAATCTTTGCCACGATGATCTACTATGCTGAGAGAATAGGTGCTAAACCCAATGATCCTAGTGCCAGTAATCATACACACTTTAAAAATATCCCCATCGGCTTTTGGTGGGCTGTTGTCACCATGACTACCCTGGGCTATGGAGACATGTATCCTCAGACTTGGTCAGGCATGCTGGTGGGGGCTCTCTGTGCTCTTGCAGGCGTGCTGACCATTGCCATGCCTGTCCCCGTCATTGTGAACAATTTCGGAATGTATTACTCCTTAGCTATGGCTAAGCAGAAGCTACCAAAGAAAAAAAAGAAGCATATCCCGAGGCCACCCCAGCTGGGATCCCCCAATTATTGTAAATCTGTCGTAAACTCTCCACACCACAGTACTCAGAGCGACACATGCCCACTGGCCCAAGAAGAAATTTTAGAAATTAACAGAGCAGGTAGGAAACCTCTTAGAGGAATGTCCATCTGACCTTTAACCTCCATACCTTGTAGAGATTTAAGATTCAGTCAGACTGCTTTCTTAGAGCAATGGGTAGCACATTTATCCATTATAGTCCCACCACCACACATTGAATATCATGTGTGAAGTCTAGGTTGCGGGGACAAATGGCGCAGGGGAGGCTGCTCAGCAAAATTAAGGATGAGATCATACTCCAGGAGCCTTAACTTTGGTCCTGGTCAAGGGAATACATGGTTCAAGATATTTTTGAAGAGCAATTACATCTAGTGGAAAAATTTTTTAGCATTCTACAGCCATGTTGCTGGACTCTATAGTGCATCATGGAGGCACCCGAGAGCGGAATGCTTCCTAGCAGAACAGGAGCTGAGTACGCAGCTCTTACAGAGATTTCTGACACAACGGGGTCAGAATTTGAAAAAGCCAGATGTTTTTTAATTTGTTCCCAGCTGTGACCTTTCAGCTGTTTTTAAATGGCAGGTATTGTGCATCTGATTAAAGAAACGAGGTGCCTACTAAGTTGGAGGGACGACTACACCAACATGCATATTCACAAGGCAATCCCATCTCTTTCAGATGATTAACTGCAAAGTAGAACGATAGCTTAAATTCTTGACACTAACACAAAATGACTCACTAGGAGACAATTATAGATGTAAGGATGTTAACTCCATAGCATGCAAACCAACCCATTCTATATTACACTAGAGCTTAGCATTTAGAGTAATGAAGAGTTTTGAACTACAGTAGCTAAAACATATTTGCTCCTCATGAAAGTGTGGGTTGATGATCTACAGCTCTTTCAACCTTTTAGTAGTAAAGGTTGACTGGAAAAAGGATAATACTGGTCGTTTTTGGTAGATTTGTACTAAACAGTAATGAGTGATAATCTCACAACAAGGTAGTCTTATTTTTTAATTATATGGATTCATGGCAGCAATAGGAGAAAACCCCAATGAGAGTAACATTATAATTTCATACTAATTCCATTTGGGAAGAAATACTAGTCACCTTGGAATATATTATAATATCCCATGGCTAGTGGTTAATTATGGGACTATCTCAGTTTTATGAGAATCCTCACATATCACATAAAGTTACAGGGCTCCAATCTGACGATTCAACCCCATAATGTACTCTACCCGTGGAATATCATCTATTTATTTACTGTGTGGAAACAGTAAACTCAAAGTATATCACACTTAAAATAACACCATAACCATTTTGATAGAGGTTCCAGCTCAGTTGTACAGTGTGCATTCTTCAGCCTGTTACAAAATGCTTCCCTCAGCGTGTATTGTGTTAGATAAAACAGGTCACTAATAGAGTGATTCTGACCGAGCTTTAGTCACAAAGAGGCATTTTGAAAGAACTAGCTTTCACCTATGATGGTCTTGTGTTCTTATCATTTTTTACTTTGAAGAAAATTCTGATTTGTCTCTCCTCGTGGGTGAGATATTGTCTCTTCATCTCATAGCCATGCATGTTGATGTCATTGAAAGAAGCACAAAGGAAGTGAGACCTTCCTTTGTGTGTGAATTCTACGATGCCAGTGCTAATTTCTGAAAGGTGGGAGGTAGTGGAAGTTGATTTTGGTTTGGTTTTTTTTCCTTTTGTGCAACTATGTAAAATCCATTTAGATGGTAAAGAGCTTTCATTTTTTCTTTTCTGTTTTAAAACTCTCCCATTGCATCAGGTTGACCACAATTCATGCGATAGACTGTCTCTTTACTATTTTACCCTTCATGCACATGTACGGTTTTATCTGTCCATTCCCCTCAGGTTGCAAATGCTTATCACAAAGTCATCTCCAGGCAAGGAAGTAACTTCCTCCTAAGTAGATGCTTTGTGGCTCTATAAATCAGGAGGAAAAGAGGGCGCTCACAAAATGGTGGATCACATCTGAATGTCACTCCAGCTACCCAGTTGTTATGTGGGCAGGGAGACACCAGACTTGGAGTGGTTTAGTGGAGAGCTAGAGAATGACTTCTTACCCAGAAGTCCCTTGCTTTAAGTTCCTCCAACAACATATCCTGGTCCTTGAACTTTTGAGGACTTGGGGCCCAAGAACTCTGCGAGTTCAATTCAACTCCACACCGGTATCCTGAGAATACGTGTAACTTTGGTTCAATGTGGAACTGTTTTGGTTCAATGTGGAACAGCTCTAATGTCAGCTGTTGCTACAGTACATACGAAGTACTGATAGTGACAGCAAATTATCCATTTCTGCAATAATTGATTAAAAGAGTCTATTTATATTATATATATATATATATATATATATATATATATATATATATATATATATATATATATATATA